TAAGAAGTGAAAATTCAATGCTAGGAAACACTGGACCTTCAGTTTTATTCACTGATTTAAAGCTTTTATGTAGTTCATACTTGGCAATAAAGAAAGCATATTCTTTTCAACATAGAGCTTCACAACGTTGGTAATGTATTCTATACAACTAAACATATATATGGATAGATTAAAATTTTTCTGCTTAAAAAAATTAAAAATGGCATTTACATGGTTTTCAGAAAATGCAAGACATTTCATTTAATTATTTTGTACTTAAAAAGGACACAGTGCCTTAAAGCTGAAATGTAACAGTTTTTTGTATGTTTGTTTATTTTATTTAAAGCTTTTTATTTATTTTGAGAGAAGGAGCACATGCACAAGAGGGGGAGGGGCAGAGAGAGAGAATCCCAAGCTGACTCCCACCATCAGTACAAAAACCAATTTGGGGCTTGAACTCATGAACAGCCTGTCAGGTACCCCTGAAATTATAGCATTCTAATTTGGGTCAGTTGGCACCTTCTAGGAATGTGCTAAGCATCTTGGAGTACTGCACATAATGAAAGATTACAAGTAAATGAAAAAGAGTTTTAAGACTTAAGTGTATATATTGAATATTTAGAAAAGAGAGTGCTTTAAATCAGGTTGGCCTTATGTGTATAGGTGAAGGGAAAATTCTAAATCTAAAAAAAATCCTTCTTACTGATACCCAAAATTATATCCTAACATGAAATACATTCCATTGTATGGTTTTAACATGTATTCCTTGGATAGCTTTCCCAGATACAGTCTTTCCCTAAAATCTTGTGGAAAATTGTGTGTATTTTTCCCCCACCGAAGAAATGCCTGATTACATTATTACACTATATTCTTTAAAGTGTTAGATCCGAGTTTATACTCAAGGTTTCAATCTCTATTATACTATATATATAATCATTGCCAGGAAGACAATACTTAAAATTGCTAACAGTTACTTACTGTCCTAAGGAAGAGATTTCTATCCTTCCTTGAGAACAGTCTCCACAGGGAGCTGTCAGGAGGACACTGATGTGATCTCACACAGAAAGATGTGTCCAGAAGTAGAGGACAGGATGTGGAATCAGAAGGCTGACAGCCCCAGGGTAAACCTTACCTAGCTTAGAGTTGTTGTGCTCAGGGCCTGTGTTGCTTTTGAAGAATGACAATGAACATTAGGTAATTTATTCAGGGGGGGAAATCATGCAGTAATGTAATAGTTTAAGTATTTGATGACTCACTGCAGTAAAGGGACTACAGATTTGATTTTACAGAAAATGTCTCAGTGATAAGGCTGATGAAACCTTGTAATTGCCTTCAAGTATAACATTAGAACATGTTTTTCAGGGGATGAGGCAGAACTTAGTCATCTGCTTGCTCTACCACAATAAAAAACTTTGAAATATTTTCCCCCCAGAGAACAGGTTATAGCTATAAAAAGAACATGTTCAGTTACATTAGATAATATTTATTTCTAAATTATTTCAATGGCCAAATGATAGGTAGAATGAAGGGTTTTGTTAGAAAGGAGAAGATAGCATGTCAAGGTATTTGTCTACCTGACTGGAAAAATCCGTGCAACACCTCTAGACTGCTACCATAGGATGCTACCCATCATGGGTCATCTTGACTATTTCTTAAGGATGCTACTTTAGACTTAGAAATATGCCCACTCCACACCCTTTGTTGCCTATCATTCCTGTCTCATACCAAAAATTCCAAAAAATGTAAACATGTTATAATACACCTCTTTGGAAATTCAATAGGCTTTGTTTTAGCAAAAGTAGTTTTTATAAGCCCTTTATTAGTACACTTCTTAAACTGTTAAAACATGTGCTGTTTTTTTTTTTATTTTTAGAATCAAATGCATGTTTTTAAAATACTTTACTAGTGTGTTATCTTTTTGTTTGATGCTAAGATGTATCAATATTTTTAACATTCATAGTTGATTTAAGCCAGTAAAGGTACTTTTCAGAGTAGTAGTTAAAACTTTTTGTCAGAGGGCACACAATATTTTTTTTCAACTGTTAATAAGTTTCTACACATATATGTAATTCCAGAACTATGGAGGCTTTATTATTTATGGGTACAGCTTAGCACAGGGCCAATACAAAGTTGTTACATCAGAAAAGAATTTTTAGTCCTTGTGTAAACATGATTATACTGCCTGAAAAAATGTTAGCTAACTCTGTCATCATTTTATTGGTAAGTAAATATTTCAGGAAATAGCACATATGATGCAACATCAACCAATATGAAGAGACCCTTATTATACTGAAAAATACACACAGATTCACAAAGAAATCATGTACAATGTACTTGTGCTAATGTACTTGTACATTATTTATATACTATCTACATGGCAAAGTGACAAACGTTGAGAGAAAACATCTCTATCACAAAATAAACATATTTAAAAAAATTAAAGCCAGTGTTTTTCTAAATGATCAAATTCCTATAATCAATATCCAATTTCCATTTTATTTTTAATGACCAATGAAGAAATAGTTCATACATAAAATTAAGGATATTTTTATTACAAAATCTTAAGGCACTAAGACAATTTTCCTGAACCTACTTTTTTTTAAAATATCATAGTCTTTTAAATCAAACACACAGATGCAGCTTTACCCAACTTGGAAGATCATCTACAATAAAATCCATAAGCTGAAGAGCAGCAAAAATGTATGATCCCAAATTATCCCACTCTGGGTTGTGAATTATCTGACTTGAAAGCAATCAAGACCCAGTTGATGCAAGAAAAAATTTTACACTTCCCTTAGGTATTTAAAGGAATTTAGATAGGAAGACTTGCTCAGAGAGAGAGAAAGAGAGAGAGGAGATCTGAAAGAACTATTTGTATGGTATGGCAAACATCTAATTACCAAACATCTGTTCCTTCTATTGTCCTTTGAATTGCCTTCCTCCTTTTTGAAGCCCCAGGCCTCTATCCCATATTTTAGCTCAGGATGGCATATAAACTTCAACTGCCCAAAATGACTTTGGGTCTCATTGTCTCTGTGGGGTCCCAAAAGAATGTATTTAAATTTGTTTTTATCCTATTAATCTGTCCTATGTTAATTTGATTATTAGATTAGCCAAAGAACCAAGAGAAGTAGAGGAAAATATTACTCCCCAAAGAAGCTATTCATTAATGGGTAGTATAAAGTCTCCTGGCCTGGTAACTGCCACACAAATTTTTATTGTTTTTATGAAACAAAAGGAATAATACATATTCCACCAGTGAATGTCTTCTATCTAAAACACAAGTCAAAACCACAATGAAATACTACCTCATACAAGTCAGAATGACTAGTATCAAAAAGACAAGAAATAACAAGTGTTACCAAGGATGTGGAGAAAAGAGAACCTTTAGTGCACTGTTGGTGGAAATATAAATTGGAAAATATTAGGGAGTTTCCTCAAAAAACTAAAAATGGAAGTACCATCTGATCTAGTAATTCCATTTCTGGGTATTTACCAGAAAAAAAAAAACAAAAAACAAAAATAACACCTCATTTGGAAAGATATATGCACCCTTATGCTTATCACAGTGATATTTACAATAGCGATGATGTAGATGTAACCATTGATAGAAGAATAAACAAAATATACTATACATACACAATGGACTATTATTCAGCCTTAAAAGGAATGAAATCTTGCCATTTGCGACATGGATGAACCCAGAGGGTATTCTGCTAAGTGAAGTAAGTCAGACAGAGAAAGACAGATACCATATGACTTCACTTATATGTGGTCTCAAACAAAATAAACAGCAACAAAAAAGAAAAACAGACTCATCAATATAGAGAAGAAACTAGAGGTTGCCAGAGGGGAGGGAGGTGATGAAATTGGTGAAGTAGGTGAAGGGGATTAAGAGGTATAAATTTCCCATTATAAAATAAATAAGTGACAGGGATAAAAAGACCAACATAGCCGATACAGTCAATAATACCATAATCACTTTGTATGGTGAGAGACAGTAACTACACTTACTACGGTGAGCATTTAGCAATGTATACAATTGTAGAATCACTGTGCTGTATGACTGAAACTAAAGTTGTCAATTGTACTTCAGTTAAAAACATAATGAAGGAAATCGATAAATAAAATGTTTTCTGAACAAATTTCTGCCTGTTGGAGGACTCAGCTTTAAAACAACAATGTATATCCTTGGACAATGATACAACTTCCATTAGCCATTCTACTTTCTAGTAATCTTTCTGACCTGTTCTCTCTTGCTCTCTGCACAATTTATAGAGCAATAAAGTATGCTCAACTTTGGGGTATTTATTATTTTATTAAATGATTATTGAAATAATTTGTTCTTATTTTCCATCAATCTTATTATTATGCTACCATAATAGATTATAATCTCTTCAAAAACAGGGTCTCATGCCCATATGATCTCATACTTCTGAATATCCACCATAATCTTTAATGTGGCTTGTTTGCATTTGATTTATCCAGCATTTGGAAGGGCTTCCAAGCTCACACTGATTAACCCCCTTCTCTGGGTATTTCTGTTTTTAAAACTCCCCTACCCTCACTAGCACATAGGTGTAACTGTAAGGCAGAAACTTGTCTCTCATGCTTAAATAGGCACCACAGTCAAGCAAAATATAAGATTTTCCCCCTCAGAAATTGGAAATTTGTATATTTTTGTGTGTTTATGACAAAGCTACTTTGAATACTTTGGAGTGAGCCCCACAGGACTACCAAACACTAGGAAGAACCCCCACACTCTAGGAGTGACCCAGGAGGAGAGGCTGAGGAAAAGGAAGCACTGAGATTCAGGGAAAGGGGATGTCACGGGTGGTGGCACTTGTGAGTCCTACGGGAGGACACACCAGGATGGTGTGACACAGGCTAAGGGCAAGAGGCCTGGACATAAAGCCACAAAGCTACCTGGGTTCCTCCTTCTCATCTGTATTTTTCTGCTTCTTCTCATGAGCTCAGCATCCCTCTGCGTACAGGTGGCAGTAGAAAGTCTATCATCTCAGAAAAATATAGAACATTTCATGAACTGGTAGGTCATCCTTGCGCAGGGGCCATGCTGATATCTGTGTCATTAGAAATTGGGACATTTGTAAATAAGGAGCCAAGTTTCTAAAAATCTTTAAAAAAATTTTAATGTTTATTTCTTTTTGAGAGAGACAGAGACAGAGTGCGAGCAGGGGAGGGGCAGAGAGAGAGGGAGACAGACACAGAATTCAAAGCAGGCTCCTTTGAATGAACAAACAAACCCATTTTGCTATATGTAAACAGCCTAGGACCAAAATCATGTGAATAAAATATGGAAAAGCTATGAGCATGAGGTGCATCAAGTTCTATTACATGAATTTAATCTAAATATTCACTCTGTTAAAACATATTTGAAGAATCCCATTTTTGCTTGCTTCATTCTTCTGTGTATCTTAAGTTTAAAATAGGTGTGCAAGTTTTGTTTTCCCTGCTAGATTTCTCACACTAACATCAAAATGAAGCTGTCTTTTGAAAGTGATTTTATCATCCCTAAATTCTTCATTTCATTTTCAATGATATAGGATGAAACATATTTTGTTTATGAAAAACCAAAGTAAAGAAAAGTAAAGAATACACTACCCCATTAGGAAATGAGAAAAAATAGTGCAATCATAAGGAGGTCAAATGATACCTTTGGGATCTGGTTAACAAAGTTACTTTAAGGGAGAACATCTGTCATGAGGGAGACAATTTCTTTCTGTAAGAAGCACATAGAATCTATATGGTAGAAAAATACTTTATTCATAAGGAAGCCAGAAAGAGTAGAAACCATTTATCTTTGAGCCTATTTCTTGAACCTTTATTATTCTGGTTTCTTAAATCAAGTTACTAACAGTGGTATTTAGAAATAAAAAGACAGGTTTCACACATAGTCCATAAGGTAATCACTCCAGGGAAGAAAATGTTTGATATGGCTATGTATAAATTGAATAATATATTAAGAATTTTGATATTATGGATAGAAGTGGCATTTTAATGCTTAGTGGTTTCTTGGAAAGCAGCCTAGCACAGTGATGAAAAAGAAGCTTTAAATTTCTCCACCAACATGTGGCTACATTAGAATTTTAAAAGTCAAAACATCTGAGGTTTAGTCCAGGTAGAGGGACTAGTTTTAGGATACTATGTGGAAAGGCTAGAAGGTACTGCATTTCTTTAATCCAATGCATTGTGACTGAATGATCTGCCACAAAGCCTTTGGCAACTGTTTCTTTGAAGTTCATCTTACAAAAAGAAAATGAATGAACCCTGCTTACCACTTACTGGTAATAACTCAACCTAATCTTGCCAAGGAAAGATCTACTACCAGGTTTCTAATAATCTTAGGTTTTTGTCATCCTAACTCCTTTCAAAGAAAAGCTTTTATTCTTTGAAAAAACATTAGAATAAAATTCCTTGTGAGATTACTTTACATTTCCTATTCATAGGCCCCAAATAATAGCACACCAGAGTAACAGCAGCAGCCTAATATATTTACCACATGTCTGACTGTTGATTACCCTTTATTTAGAAAAATGTACTTGAGATCAGGTATGGGTTTTCTACATCCATGTGGCAAAATGAAAGAATCATTGTTCTGGGATCAAGACTCCTCCAAAGGCTCTAGGGTGATCTTGAAGAACTCATTTGAATTCCCCTAGGCTCACTATATGAATCCAACATATGGGGCCATGAAAATGATATTCTCACCACCTCAATAAGATCAGTGTAATTAAGATTGAAAGTTGATGTTATCTATTCAAAGGAAAGATAAACATACCAAAAAAATTTGCTATTCCCATCTACTGGAATAGATAACTTAATTCACAGGTGGCTTACTCTTGATAATTTAGAAGTAGAGGCAAGGCTCCAAGAAACAAGCTAAGGGAACAAACATATTGCCCATGTTTTATTCCATGTAACAGGCGGCAGCTATTGTGGTGGCTGAGTCTCCTTTTCTGGACCACAAAAAACAGTTTACACTGCTTCTATACAAGATTTTTACAACCAGGTTTATGTTTTTATCATATGGAAAAGCTGACAGAAGAGCTCTGATATCATAAACTGCCAATGAGTGGGAGGAACCTAATGGTATTATTTAATTTTAAAAATGAAAGTGGCATGGGAATTAGAAAGGGAAGTAAGAAAGAATACAGAGAAGGAAAGCAAAGATAAGGAGAAATACCAGGGTCTCCAGTTCCCATGTACTATATCAAAAATATTAGGAATTCAATAAGAATTTTTAATATTTTTCTGAAAGTATTAATAGAATAAAATGTGTAAATGTTTGGTCATATTTACTTATGTTCTTTTCGTCGACATTAGTCTACCATGCATAAAGGGAAAAACAAAATATCGCTGACCAAAAGCCAAGATCTGGCTTTGTCAACAGTATTCAAGACTAGAGAGTGGCTGTTGCATGCTTGTCATATTTAGTCTATTTCTAAGCTTGATGTCGAAATACAAACAGCTATTGCTGAACAAAGCCTTAGTAAGACAAGACTGTGACTCAAATTGTCCTTTTGCTTCAACACCTTTTGGCGAATAGACCTAGCCAGAAGCAATCCAAACTGGGATTAAGAAACAAGACCAGCTGTCTAATGGAGTCAGGTACTTTAAAACTAGTGGTATTTTCTCTGAGAAGTAACTGAAATGAACAAGAAATTTATCCTTGCCTCAGTCGAGGGAATGGAGAAAATGCATACCGAGAAGTGAGAAAGGGGGATGAACTGATTTAAAAAAAATAGAAGAGACATTCTGGGAAGGGCAAAGGCATGCACTACGAGTTTAAGACAGTTTATGGTAAATATTTTGGTGCTACTGTATACATAGTTTTCTTTGGTTATTTTTTTCCAGTTTCTTCCAACCTATCTGCACGTTGAAGTGATTATGAGCAACTGGATTTGAATTTATATAAATTTATAAAATACTACCTTCTGTTCTCATAGAAGATAGGTTATATTTAATACCACATAAACATTCTAGTGAATAAAAGCAAAGTAGGTGAGGTCCGGTGAGGATGCCATAAGAAAATACTACAGACTGGATGGATGAAAAATGTATCTTCTCACAATTCTGGAGGCTGGAATTTCAAGATCATGATGCTGGGAGGGTTGGTTTGTCTGAAGCTTCTCCCCTTGGCTTACAGCTGGCTGCCTTCTCACTGTGTCCCCACATGATCATTCTTCTGTCCATATACATCCCTGATGTCTCCACCTCTTCTTAAAAGGACATTGCTCCTTTCAGATTAGGGCTCCATACACATGACTTACCTTGTCTAATTATTATTTAAGGACTTTATCTCAAAATATAGTCATATCAGGGGTTAATATTTTGACACAGGGATTTTGGGGGTACGGAATTAAAAACGCAACAAGTATGTGATATTAACAACTTGTTATACATTCCCTTATTATGAGGGAATTCCTTGTTCCTTTAATCATAAATCTCTTTAAGATAAGCATCACTAAGATTTAAGTTTTAACTTCCCTTTTAATAGGATTAGTGTAACTGACCAAAGCAATAATTTTAAGTAGCTGTCCTAATATGAATGCAAACAAAACTCTCTACTGTGGTACACTATGGAAATGCCTCACTCGTCTAACCAAGCCTCAAGGACTTGCTATTGTAGTAACTTTACTTTAGAGTAATGTTTTTGAAGAAAAAAGATCACAATGATTACATACGACTCTCAGAAAAATGAGCTAAAGTTTGAAAACAACTAATAGATAACTGGTATTCTTTTGTTGCTTGATTTTATATTTACTTCTCTATTTTACAACTCTGTAGGAAACGAAGTTAATTTATAAATCTATGCAAGGTAGGGATGCAAATAATTTTTGTCCAGTGGAAGAGATAACCCCAAAAGTTAAATTTATTGCTTTGAAAAAAATAGCTTTATATCTATCCAAGAATCTTATCCTAATACTTCTTTTTAAAATTGCCTCTCTATCTATGTCATCAAATGACCTTTGAACTGAGTTAAACTTGCTGGCTCAGTCATTATAATGGGTTATATAGAGTCTTTGAAAAAATTGTTCACATAATATTTGTCTCACAGGCATAAATTGCCTTCTTGAAAATGATATTTAAACATAATCAATGAACATGTATTTATTAATATCATTTATCAGTATATTAGAATACAGAATCTAATCTGAAAATTTAATCCTTAATAATAACTACAATACCAAGTGATTTGTCTTTAATTTAAAGATTACTTTCTATGCTTTTAGAGAAAAGTGGAAAATTGGAAATTTAGGAAAAGCAACTGAAACATTTAAAAAATAGTATTTTTTCATTTCTAAGTTTGTTGAGTATAAATTTATGTAGGAAAAGATTATGTATACTCACAAATTTCTTATTGTTTTCCATTGTTAATATTTAAAAAACACATGTTGATTAAACTCTACGTAGACACTGTGAATGCATATTTTTAAAAATAAAATGGGAGAGTATGATTTTAATCTATAAACATTTATAGTAAAGTCAACTGGATCTAGTCCCCAGTAGTGAACCTAATAGATTTTGAACTCCCTGTGGTTAAAATGGACAGAGTGTCACACTGACTTCAGGTATTTTTCAAGGGAGGAAAATCCCAATGGTTTTTTAACCAAAGAAATCTAGCCTAGTATCATGGCAACAAGAAATCAGCCATCTGGACTGTTGCCGTATAACCAAGAGCATAAGACACTTTCTGCCTAGTCCTCGTGGATCGACTTTTCTGTCTCTTCAATACTCAAAGTCAGGAATCTTCTCCACTATGAAGCTTTGCTTACCTATGAAGCTAGGCTGAATGAGATGCCTCTGAATCCGTTTAATTGTCCTTAATTTTGCATAAATATAAATTATATAAATTATAGTCTATAAGTTATATATAAATATATAAATTATATATCTTATTATATGATTCTGCCTCCTCTATACCATGATCTCAAGAAAAAGGAACTGTTCACTTTATAATTCAACTAATTTAGTATTTGATATCTGTTTATGAAATAAATACAATGGTGTAAAATATATTTGGTTGACCAGCCAAAGTAAATATAGCAACCTGAGATAAAAACTTGAGTATGTTAAAAAACATAGGGACCTTCTATATCTA